ATTACTGTGAAAAGTCCTTTTCAAATTTTGTAAGTAACAATTCCTTTGAATGCTTAGCAGAATATGAAAGGGATTTTCCTAGTTTGCCTACAACTAGCAAAAATATTCCGATATCTAAACCAGTTTCACATAAGCCAAATTCTGCTTTTACTCACACTGATTTAAACATCACTAAATCTCAAACAAATAAAAAAAGAAAAGTTAATTCACCAGTTGCACAGTCGTCTACTGAGAAACCAATGTTTCCTTTTGTTTTTGGACCTGAGAAACCCTTACCTGTTAATCGAATTGTACCAAATTATGAAAACATTGAAATTAAAAGAAATGTAACTGAAAGTCTTTCAACTTTTATATATCAGCTTTTACAAAGTATACAAACTTTTGATGATATACGGTCTATAGATAGACAATTAATAGTCAATAATATTGAACAGGTATTGGAGGGTACTTTGATTAATACTAAATAAAAAATGTCTTGTCAACCTAAGTTAAAAATAATACAGTGGAATGCTCGTTCTGCTGTCTCAAATAAAAATAGCATGATGCATTATTTAGTAACTAACAAAATAGACATAGCTCTTATTAGTGAAACATGGTTTAAAAAAAATGTAATATATGATTTTAATGGGTATAATCTTGTTCGTAATGATAGGTTGGATGGTTATGGTGGAGTTGCTATACTTATAAATAAATCAATTTGTTTTACTGAACTAAAAATTCACAATAATAATTACAATAATGAAATACAGTTATGTGCTATAAAAATTAAATATGGGAATAATCAAATTAGTTTTATGTCACTATATAGAGCCCCGAAAATAAGATGCACAATAAATGATTGGATAAATATATTTTCCCAGTTACAAAAACCAGTTATTATAGGAGGTGATTTTAATGCCCATCATACTATTTGGGGTTCAAGTACAAATGATGGAATCGGAGTACAGCTGATTAAAATGGCAGATGATCTTGAATTTACAGTTTTAAATAATGGACAACCAACAATACTAACTCAACCTAACCAGAATTACTCAATGATTGATGTTACTTTCTGCAGTCCTGATCTTGTTAGTAAGACTGAATGGTCTATCTCTTCAGACACACTAGGATCAAATCATTTTGTTATACAGGTGGATATTTGCATTAAAGCCGAAACAGAAAAAATATTACCGAAAAATAAATGGAACATCAACAAAGCTAATTGGCCTTTATATACTTCTTTAGTACAAAACTTTTTGAATCAAAATACTGAAATTCCAAAAAACACATCAAGCAAATATGAACATTTAATGAATGGTATAAATTATGCTGCTCACATTGCAATACCACAATATAAACCTTTTAGGCCAAAAACTCGAAACCCTCCACCGTGGTGGAATTCTGAATGTGACACGATTATTAAAAACCGGCAATTTTCACTCACGAATTATAAAAAAGAACGTAATTTTGAGAACTATATAAAATGCCAATCAAACATGGCAAGTACAAAAAAACAACTAAAAAGTATTGCGAAACAAAGCTGGGTCAATTGGGTTTCTTCTCTCAATAAATCAATACCATCATCAGTACTTTGGACGCAAGCTAGAAAGTTATACAGAAAATCACCTACAAAAAAAAAATCTTTTGAAGATATTTGGATAGAAGGGTTTTTTGACATAATTGCTCCTCCAACAGTGATATCTATGCCTAATAAACCTAGTAAAATAGTGACCGACAAAAGCCATTTTTTACTTCAACCGATTAAACAGACAGAACTAAACTATGTTTTAAATAATCGTCCTAGCACAAGTCCCGGTTATGACCACATTAAGTATCCTATGCTTGATATGCTTCCTCCAACCGCTAAAGATCTCTTATTGGAAATATTTAACGAAGTTCTCTCTGCAGGTACGGATGAATTTAAAGAAGTTATTGTCATCCCAATTTTAAAGCCAATGAAGGATCCGAATCTCTCAAAATCATACAGACCAATTTCACTTATGTCTTGTGTTTTCAAAGTATTAGAAAGGATACTAAAAGTAAGACTCGAATGGTGGATAAGTGAGAAAAAACTACTTCCAAATTCTCAGTTCGGTTATAGACAAGGATGTGGTACTTTGGATGCACTCGCTACCGTAGTAACTCACATTCAAAATGCATATTCTCGCAATACGTATGTACCACTTTTATGTTTGGATATTGAAGGTGCATATGACAGTGTTAATTTAGATATACTAAAAGAAAAGATGATTCATCAATTTCAAATACCTTCCCTGCTAACTCAAAATATTGTAAATTTCTACTTAAACAGGAAAATATATATTAGGAAGGAAAACAATCAACTCATTGGACCACGTTTTAATAGTTCGGGTCTTCCACAGGGCTCAGTTTTAAGTCCACTTCTATTTAATCTTTACACAGCCGATTTTCATAATATTAGTATCGAAAAAATCTCATTTAATACAATACAATATGCAGATGACTTCTGTATCTATACGGAATCTAAAAGTTACAATAACGGTTTAAACACATTGGAAAGTGTTCATGAACATTGCTGTAGGTGGTTTAAAAAAAATGGTTTTGAGTTGGCAAACAACAAGTCTAACATTTGTATATTCACTAGACATAACTTGCCTCAAGGAGAACAAATAAAATTAAATGATAATTATTTTCCCCTCTGTAAGTCAATAAAATATTTGGGTATGATTTTGGATACAAAACTGACCTGGAAACTGCATGTTGATTTTATGCTTGATAGATGTAATAAAGCACTAAACTTTCTAAAATCAATTTCAAAAACTTGGTGGGGTGCAGATGTTGAAACGTGTCTTCTATTTTATCGTTCTTATATCAGGTCCATTATAGATTATGGCTCTGTACTTTACGGCTCCGCTAGTAACAATATTTTATGTCGTATAGATGTTTTTATACACACAGTTTTGCGGTGTTGCATTGGTGCTATGAGATCTACCCCTATTGAACCACTTTATGTTGAGACAATGGAACCGCCCAGTAAATTTAGAAGAGAATATCTCAGTCAAAAATTTCTTCTTAAAGTTTGTTGCTACAACACTTGCTTATATAAAGATATTAGTATTTTAACTTATTTCGACTTAACAAATAAATATTGGACTCGCAAGAATTCTCCACCGCTATGTGAAGCATTTCGAAATACTGCAAATAAAGATACTGAACTTATAGTTGCAAACAAAGTAGTACATTTTAAAGATTTCTTTGAGTTACTGGATCAAGTACATATAATACAACCTATTTATCATGAGAACCCTTTAATAAGTCGTATTATTTTAAACAACTATCTGACAAATTGGCCAAAATCTGTTTGTATTTATACAGACGCATCTAAAAGTTCAAAGGGTACTGGTTGTGCCTTTTATATTCCAGATAAATTTATAGAAAAAATAATTAAACTGCCCACAAATTTCTCTATTTTTAGTGCTGAGGCTGTGGCCATATATGAGGCTTTAAAGTATTTTAAATTGGCATCGTATAGTTCAGCAGTAATTTTATCTGATTCGTTATCTGTACTTACAGCTATTCAAAAACCGCAACTACCCTGTAGTACTTCTAATCCATACATTTTTTTAATTAAAAATTGTTTATTTGAAATTAATAAATACACCCAAAAAATACAATTGATGTGGATCAAAGCACATTCAGGACTTACATATAATGAACACGTGGACCAGTTAGCAAAAAATTCCATCTTTTATGGAACACTTACCAACTATAAACCTTGCATTATAGATGCTTTTGCTTGTTCAAGAACTAAACAAATGAACAACTGGAGAGAACACTGGGAAAAGTACTGTAGTATTTCAACAACACAATACAGTTTGATACAACCAATTATTCCAAAACAACCTTGGTATAAGAATTTCGTCCTCCCTCGCAAATACATAACTACCATCAGTAGACTTAGATTTGGCCATGCATGTTATCCTGTACATTTATTTAAAATAAATATATTAGATTCGGATATTTGTCAAGAATGTCAGATTAAAAGTGACTTAAACCACATATTTTTTGAATGTCAAAAGTATAAACAACCCACCAACAACCTAATTAAAAGAATGATAGACAAGAACATCCCTCTTCCTGTTAATATTCTCTTTCTACTATCTCTCAATGAGAAGAAAATGTATAACTGCTTGATAACCTTTTTGTCTGATAGTAAAGTATGCCTGTAATTAGTTAGATTTGTAACCTATGTTTAGAAAAAATTCATGAAAAAAATAATAAAAAAAAAAATTATTAAAAAAAAGTTCACAAAAAAAATAAAATAAAAAGAATATAAAAAAAATAGATTTGAAAAGAAAAAAAAATACATAAATTAAAAAAAAAAAAGAAAAAAGATGATTATAAAAATAAATTAAAAAAAAAAGAACAAAATAAGAAAAAAAAAATAAATAAATAAAAATATACTAAAACAATCACTAAGAGGATCTAAACCTCCGAGAGGTTGAATCGGGTTTATGTCCTAACGTAGTGAAAAAAAAAATGTATTACCATAGTTGTAGTTATTAACATAGTAGGTAGATATCTTTATTTTTATATTTTTTTTTTATTTGTAAGATGTATACACTATGAATTTCTGATGGCGTCTCTCAATAACTAAATTATAATAAAGGTATAAAGGTATGATATAGTATTTATTAACATAGTATGTACATTAGCTTAGCTGATATTATTATTATTATATTAATCATGTTTCACTAATTGACATATTTAAATTCTTTAACAAAACTTATGTTGATGGAGACTGGCTGAATGACAATTGTCCAAGCCAAGGAAAAAAAAAAAAAAAAAAAAATCAAAATAACAAATTATGTATTATAAATTATATATAACAAATAGATATTAATAAAATTTTGATTTAATGATGTGCTGTTTTTAAAATAATAAATGTAAAGAAACTCCATATTTCAAATTTTTAAATATAATTATTCTTTTTTCAGGTACTGGAGCTCCAATGACGTGAAAGACCATTAATATCGTTTAAAATGAATACCAATATGCTTTTGTTGGCGATTCTTTCGTCGTTAATTTGGATCTGTGCATCAAAAACGGTGTCGGTTATTCCTCACGATGCTCATCCTGGGTACAGTGTTAAAAAGTTTAATAATTCCGAAAATTTAAAATTATTGGATTCGGACTTTTCGCAGTTTTTTACTATGTTACAAGACGGTTCAATAATGACTACATCCGATGTGAGTTCCCTAGTCAATCACCCGATAGATTTAGTGGTAATGGAAGATAAAGGAAATATAAGCACCAAACATAAACTTGAGCTTTTCGTCCTTGATAGAAGAAACATGCTCAGTTTTAATTTTGACGAAGATGTATCTGGTCATATTGCCGAGAACTCTCCTGCTGGTACCGCTGTTAGTGATTTGCCATTGTTACAAGCTAGCAGTGATTTGAGAGTACCAATAACTTATACTATTATCGCAGGCAACATCGGCCAATCTTTTGAGCTGCAAGATAGTACGACTGGTGACGTTCTTCCAAATGTAACGATAAGTAAAGATTTGGGAGGAGTTAATATAGTATCTTCGCAGATTCTGGACCGAGAGGAAACTAGCAAATATGTTCTGACTATTCAAGCAGTTGATCCTACGGGAATAAACAAGGCAGTGACTAATGTCGTGATAGATATCGAGGACGAAAATGATAATAGCCCTGTGTTTACCCAGAAAGTGTACAGATTTGTTGTAGGTGACGATACGATGGACGGCGATAACGTAACGATGACGTGGAAACGCTTCTCTTCGGTCGGTAGAGTAGAAGCGACGGACGCGGACGGTGACAAAGTCGCGTATAGACTCGCAACACCTACAAACTTCTTGGTCATAGTTCCTCAAACTGGAGACTTGCTTCTCACCCAAGAACCAATTGAGGAAGTTGAATTGGAGCTCGTTGTTGAAGCACATGACTTACGCACTCCTAGCAGAACATCTCCAAGACCCGCGCAGGTCATTTTCCATTTTAAGCCCGCAGAATCTTCGAAGGTTGACATTGATTTAGATTTTCAACATCTAGAAGAAGTTGAGTTGCATCGCAGTAAAAGACGTGTCACTCGCGCTGTGAGACCGACAAAGAGAATCGAATTTACCGAAACTGATGGCGAGACTGACGGTCGGGTAGTTTTTCAGTTGGAAAAAGAAACTGATCGCGAAACGTTTAAAATAAGAGATGAAAATCCTTGGGTGACGGTCGATCCAAACGGGTCAGTTCGTGTGAAAAAGAAGTGGGACTATGAAGAGCTTGGGCCAGAAAAGACCATCGATTTTTGGGTTACAATCACCAATGCTGAAAAAGGAGGTAAGACTTTGTTTTAAAAAATATGTTAATTTCATAATTAGAGATAGTTTATCGTTTTTGTATATAAATATTTTGCATATAAATTGTTACAGACTCTACGCACATGTAAATTTTTAGTTCGGGAAAAAATATAATTTCTATTATTATATTTTCCTCTCCTCACGCACACATGGTATCTATCTGCAAATGACACAACTTTCCATCGACAATAGGATTTGTCGATATTGTCATTTTGAAGTCGTAACATCCCAGATATATCATGCGGCCCATATGTATGGAATAAATTCATTTTTAGCGTTATCTCCAAAAGAGAACAATTTCCGAAGTGGAACTTGAAACGTCAATAAACTATCTTTATCCTTTAATTGTGGCTTATTCCCATTTAAATAGTTATTACTTTAGTTTTAATCAGTGGTACAGTGAAACATGCATAATTCGAATCTTAGTGGACTGTTAAAAAATTTCGAATTATCCAAAAATTCGTATTAAAACTATATCTACAAAAAACAGTGATACCTACAAAACCATCTGCAAACGATTAAAATTAATACTTTTGCAGATGTTTTTGTTTCTATTCGTGTTCGAATTTTGTCAACAAAAAAAATGGGCTAACAAAATTCGGCCAAGAATACCAATTGACACATTTGCAAGCTATAAAAATGGTCAATTATTGTGATTATGGCAGGTGTTCTCATTGGTATTTTCGGCCAAAACTTGGCCGATAAAAATCGCCCAAGGAGAACGCATCATTAAATCAATAAAAAAATTTTATCTCAAGAAATTTATTGAAAATAAAAACATTTGTTATAATTAACAAAAAAATACAGACTTTATCTTTTTCCAAAGAAATCCGAAATTTTTAGTTGCTTTTTAAAATTTAGCTTCTCGGCAATGACTTCTAAGTATTCTAAGGTGAACTAAAAATAGAGCGACTTACGTCATTTTTACTAAAGTACAGTCTAAGTGGTGTAATATAATTCGTTGCTTTGGTTGCACTGCAACATTTTCATCCACGTTGACAAAATCTTTATAAGAGATGGCAGGATCAGAAATGACGTCCTCCCAGCCGTCAACTGAAAGCAGCTCTTCTGTTAAAGTGTCGTTAGCTTTTTCTGCGTTCATCTCCTTTTTTACGAAACCAGCTTTTTTAAAACAGTGTTTGATCGTTTCGGGTGTTACTTTCTCCCAAGCTTTCTTATACATTCGAGAGGCATGAAGAATGTCTAACTTTATTTTAAGAAAGTTGCAATCTTCCGGTAATTTTTTTAAACGGTTCCGGTTTTTAACAAAAAAACGTCCGTTGAAATGTTTAAGATTTTTTATGATATCCTGGTCCATAGGCTGGAGAACTGAAGTCATGTTGGCAGGAAACAAATAACTTTTACACAGATTAAAGCGGAAATCTGAATTGTGTTTCGAAACTATTTTACGGTTTTATTTTCCTTTTTCTTTTATAAAATTTTTGTCTAATTTCATCAGCCATTTCTCGAAAAGATCCCTAGCCATCCAAGCTCTTGCGCTGCTCACATGTTCCATTGGTTTTGACTTGACGTTCTTAAAACAACGCGGATTAGCAGATTTACCAATCATCAGTAGAGGCAGCACTTCTGATCCGTCCATGTTTGCATGAATTAGAAGAGTGAGTTTTTTTTGCTTAGTTTTCCTCAGTGACATTTTTCATTTTTAAATGCCAGTGTTTTGGCAGGAGTGCATTTAAAAAAGACCTGTCTCGTCAACATTGAAGATATCTCTTTTATCTATATCCTGAATCATCTCTTCTAATTTTTTTCCATTTTTTTGAAATTGGTTGGTTCCATTTTTCCAAATTTAATTAACTGCCCCACTTACTTTATAAATGGATTTGAATAAATTTTTTTTGCGTTCTTTGAAGCCGTCTAGCAACCCTGTGCTCGCTTTAAAGTTGTTCTTCACCATTTCAACAACAAATTGTTCAGATTTGCTTTTTATGGGACCACTCACGGGAATCTTCTTATCCCTAAATTGTTCCATTAACCATTTTAAAACACATTTGGATTTTATCGCTCCCTTAACCTTTTCATTCTTTACCGCACTCACTTTTACTACTGAGATTTTTTTCTTTATTCTTCAAGTAGGTATGTCCACCTACTTGAAGAAGTAGGTGTGAATTATCATGTGTTAGGAGGAATTCCAAATTCCTTGGAAGTCTCTGATTTCTTCTTCGTCCCATTTTCTACTTCTTTAATTGCCGCTATTTTTCCGATAACGTCAAAGTTTTGTATGTTCGAAGTTTAATGAAGGGGCGTGCCAGGTGGGGGAGAATTTAGGTGCCAGATAGGAGTACAATGTACAATGGTCTTGAATGTCTTGAAACAAGTGGGGCGTGATGATTGGTTAAAATAGGCATTTTAACTTGTAGAAAGGTTCGAATTATCTAAAATATAATTCAAATTATTCACGATTTTTACCATTACTTATATAGGAAATGCTAGGGAGCAGAATAAAAATTCGAATTAAAGAAGATTTCGAATTAGAGAAAATGAATTAAGCAGGTTCCACTGTATTAGCATTCCGAACGTTACTTTTTCTTTTAATATTCTGACTCAAATATTACTTTCTTAGTTTATTTCTTATTATTTCTTTTTTAACTTATAAATATCTAAAGTCATAGATATTCTGTAGCCTAAATTGTTCCTCCTCCTTAACTTATTACTTTTGTTTTTTGTCCTGCCGCCAGTCTCATTAGTATAAATTTAATTATTAATGAACGCAAATGTTAGGACAATAATTTATTGAAGGGTTAACAAAATGACATAAGTAATGTTACTTATCACTGACTCATGCAAATGGAACCAAACGGAACTCATAGGGAGCTCTAACTAAATTAAACCGTCACTCTCAAACCCTCCTTAGATTTTTTATTATTGTGAACTAGAGGGTGTTGAAAGTACTGATCAATTAGACCGACCTGAGTCATAAAAGGGGAGTATATCTGATGTCATTTTACTTTACTTAATTAATATATAATTCGCGAAAGACGAAACGCGAATTGTATTATAATGCTCTAGGGTGGATCGAAAAATCGAAGTTTCGAATACTGTACTGGAATAGTGCGTAAAAGTTGCCAATTGGTATCACAAACCTAATCTTTATTTGCAATTTTTCAAAAAATGTTCATTTTCTGCCCTCAACTGGGGGTTGGAAAAATAAAAAATACGAATTTATGATTTTAATTAAAAGGTTAATAAGTACATGTTATTATTATAAAAACGATATCCAATTGAAGTATCTTTAAAATATGTCATTTTTATTTTTCTAACCACTCCCTACCCTCCCTCTTAATTTTGATTATTTATTATTTGTAGTCTTTTTTTTAACTCAAATTTTGGCATATTGAAACCTCAATACTCCAGGAGTATTGGATTTTAGGAAGTGTAAGACTTCCGAATTCCAGAAGAACTGGAAGAGAGATGATGAAACTACTAAAAATAGGGCTAAGCTCAGAGGAATAAAGTTAAATGGCCAAAGAGACACTAAATCTCAAGTGAGTGTTCGGGCTAGCTTCAATCCACTGGATTGTGGCTTTAAAGATATAAACAGATAGCAAGGATACTGAGCTAATGAGACAAGAAACGAAATAAGACCTACTAATATCAAATGTGATACAACTAAAGAAGCTCACTGGGAATAAATTTATAGAAAGAGAACAATAAGAAGAGAAAAAGAAGGGCGCCAACTCAACGATAGTTGAGATTTTGAAGTAACAAATTATTGGAAACAAATGAATCTGGAGATAATAACCTGAAATACAAAATACTAAATACTAATCTTGTTTTGCTATATTATATACTGGTTAGTAGAACTGAAATAAAACTCAAAATAGTAACAATAAATATATTTATAAAAATGTGTATATCGATATATATGTATTAACAATTTACATATAAGGCAAAACTAAATAACAGTGGTAGTGGGTGGTGTAAAGATACAATAGGACCTAATAGCCCCTCAACAAGTGAATAGTCACTACCACTGGCCAAATAAAGTGTGAAATGTTAGTAAATAACAAGAATAGTCCGTATGGTAGCCAAAGTCTTAACACAAAAAGGTAGTAATTTAAATTTACCTAATTCAACTAAAATAAGATACAAATTACAATATTGTAAAGATATCAAACTTGATAAATCTATTACAATTATTATATTATATTACATCCAAAAAATGAGTCTTCAATACTCTTTATATAATGTTTAAAAAAAACACATGAAATTTATTTCCCTTCCCAAAATCAAAATTGTATTATATCAAAAATGTATTCTATTAAAAAGAAATATATTAAATCAACAAGTGAGTTCGGTCAGACTCTGTATATCCTATTTAAAAACCTAATAAAACATGTAATGTATTTTCCTCTCTCCCAATAATATCAAAATTATATTTTATTAAAATGTAGTCACTTGATCATATGCATATGAAAAGTTAACAGTAAATAGAAAGTAACACAACAGTCAAATAGTTAAATAACTTATCTTTACAGCACTATAAGTCCATAGGAAAAACTCCTCTTGGCACGGCTAAATCAGTTTGTTGCTGTAAAGGACAAATCCTAGGTGAGTCTGGGCATAAAACCAGTCACTGGGCTATCTGGAGTGGCGGCAAAATCCAGGAGAGTTGCTAACTATTTAAGGATTCAAAGTTACTAATATCCTTGAGGGAATATTCTCAAGAGAATACTCTCAAGTGAAGTGACGGAATCTAAAAAGGTTATGTAATTTAATAAATGCAATTCAATAGGTGTAGCAGCATGGATTGACTACACCAAAACAAAACATCAAAACAGGTTAAGTCAACATGTCAAAATTTCCGAAGTTCATTTCGTAGACGTGACAGGCTTGCGCCATGAAATGAACACGCGCAGAACACAGAAGGCTGTAGAAACCTTGTATATTCCACCAAAAAAAGTTAGAGAAAAAAAAAGAACCAAAAAACTTACTGATAAGATATGGAATAGATCGGACTTTAAGTTTGACTATATAAA